CATTATGGGGGTAAAATAAATAGAATAATTGCACATATGAACTGGACTCCACAGATTGGGAACCACTATTGACGTATCGCTACCACCGACATCCAATCAGTACCAAACCAGGCAGGAGGCATGCATGTATATAGATGGGAGGGTGATGGCTTTAATCCATTTTATGATGCCCATCAGGTCCAGTAATGGGACCTCTCTGAGGCTTCAGACAGCAACTTTCAGGGCCGATTCGTACCGGAACATGCTCCTTCCCGTGTGTTTCCTTCATGTTCCCATGTGGTCCAGTTTTGCTGCCCATTCATTTGAATGGGCTACAAAATGCACTGGAATGTGGAAAATGTACTACAACCTACTTGTTCAGCACGCACTGCACCAAATTGCATGCAACTACCGTACCATAATGCACTGCATTTGTGAGATGCATTTGGGGCGTCATTAACAATTCATTGGCCCCCCCACACTGTGTTTTGGTGTGCACTGGCCCTCAGGCTAGATGGAGAAACTGAGCAAAATGTAAAAATGCACATCAGGACAAAATAGAATACAAAACATAGTCAGTACATCTCCCCAGTACATACACTTTTCCCTTTTTTTTTTTCTTTAAACCCTTGGCACTGGCACCCCCCAGCCCTTTCATGGGGTTTCTGATCATGTGACCACATGTCACATGATCAAAAAGCTCCTGCATAAATGTTGATTTATTATGGACAGTAAACTACCACATTATGGCCATTAGATGGAGCTGGGGAGCAAAGGAAATACATACATCTTTGTAATAAGAGATACAATGTAACAATTCTAGAGAACACTAGAGGGAATCAGCACATAAATGTAACCCAATAGTTCCATGATCTGTAAGCAAATGCCAGAATACTAGGGCTGGGCTGGGAATATACATGTATCTATGTATTCACTGGGATGTGATGTCTCTATTCACAGATATTGCAGATTTCATTGAAAAATTCTCCGGTAGCCCAAGAATAAAAAAGCATAAACTAACAGCAAAGAGTCTGGAAGAATGCAGAAGTGTCCGAGTGGAGAGGATCCCCCCCAATACCCCGGAGGACATGCTCACACTTTACTTCGAGAGCGCAAGGAACAGAGGAGGGAGTGTAGAAGATGTGGAGATGTTATCGGATGAAAGAGCCGCGTTGGTCACATTTCACCAGGCAGGAGGTGAGAGGGATAGAGGTTGAGGGCACTGGGGGTGGGGGATGGTAATGTCTGGGGCAGGAGGGGGTAGACCTGATAATGTATATTATCACACTCAGGGCCAGGACAAGGGGTGGGTGGGAGGGAAAACTGCTCTGGGCGCAATGGTTTGCTGTAGGGATGGGGATGCCTTCCTTCTGTTACAAGGCTGACAGGAGTAGTGACAGCGGCATCACCACTCCTGTCAGCCCAGCACTGGGAGTGGCAAAGGGAGAGCCAAGAGGCAGCACGGCTGTGTTCTCTCTCCCACTCCTTCCTACCTCTTGTGTTGGGACCGCATCGTGAAATACTGCACACTTCCAGGTCGATGCAAAACCTGATCAGGAGCTGCACAGCGATTTTGACAATTGACAGCTATGCATTAGATCCCCTAACCTTGTACATCATGAAAGGGGGGGAGGGGGTGCATTTTGGCATCTTTGCCCTGGGCACTGGATGACCATGTCCTGGCACTGGTCATGCTCTGCAAGAAATCAAGCACTGGCAGCAAGGGCCACAGAGGGCCACAGAGTTCCACCTACTTACTGTATATTTACAGTGAAGGAAGTATGTATTTGCTCCCCGGCTGATGGTGAATGTTCGCCCCTCACACAGAAATGATCGGTCTAACAATGGAATGTTCGCCCCTCACACACAGAAATGATCGGTCTAACAATGGAATGTTCGGTGTAACACTGAGAGACAGAATACAACAACAAATTCAGCAGAAATGCGTCTAACAAATGATGACGGATCTGCATGTTCATGAGGGAAAGAAGGATTTGATCCCCTTCACAAAACATGACTTAGTACTTGGTGGCAAATCCCTTGTTGGCAATCACAGTGGTCAGACGTTTCCTTGAGTTGGCCCCCAGGTTCGCACACATCTCAGGAGGGATTTTGGCCCACTCCTCTTGGCAAATCCTTTCCAAGTCATTAAGGTTTGGTGTCTGGTGTTTGGCAACTCGAACTTTCAGCTCCCTCCACAGATTTTCAATCGGATGAAGGTCTGGAGACTGGCTAGGCCACTCCAGGACCTTAATGTGCTTCTTCTTGAGCCGCTCCTTTGTTGCCTTGGCCGTGTGTTTTTGGGTCATTGTCATGCTGGAACACCCATCCACGACCCATTTTCAATGCCCTGGCTGAGGGAAGAAGGTTCTCACCCAAGATTTGAGGGTACATTGTCCCGTCCATCGTCCCTTTGATGCGGTGCAGTTGTCCTGTCCCCTTAGCAGAAAAACACCCCCAAAGCAGAATGTTTCCACCACCATGTTTCACAGTTGGGATGGTGTTCTTGGCGTCATAGGCAGCATTCCTCCTCCAAACACGGCGAGTTGAGTTGATGCCAAAGAGCTGGATTTTGGTCTCATCTGACCACAACACTTCCCACCAGTCCTCCTCTGCATCATTCAGATGTTCAGTGGCAGACTTCAGACGGGCCTGGACATGTGCTTTCTTGAGCAGAAGGACCTTGCGGGCACTGCAGGATTTCAGTCCTTGTCGGCGTAGTGTGTTACCAATTGTTTTCTTGGTGACTGTGGTCCCAGCTGCCTGGAGATCATTGACAAGATCCTCACGTGTAGTTCTGGGATGATTCCTCACTGTTCTCATGATCATTGACACTCCACGAGGTGAGATCTTGCATGGTGCACCAGACCTAGGGAGACTGACACTTGTTTTGTGTTTCTTCCATTTGTGAATGATTGCACCAACTGTTGTCACCTTCTCACCAAGCTGCTTGGCCATAGTTTGGTAGCCCAGTCCAGCCTTGTGTAGGTCTACCATCTTGTCCCTGACCTCCTTGGACAGCTCTTTGGTCTTTCCATGGTGGAGAGTTTGGAATCTGATGGTTTGATTGCTCCTGTGGACAGGTGTTTTTTATACAGGTAACACAATGAGATTAGCAGCACTCCCTTTAAGAGACTGCTTCTAATCTCAACTTGTTACCTGTATGAGAGACACCTGGGAGCCAGAAATCCTGCTGAATGATAGGGGATCAAATCCTTCTTTCCCTCATGAACATGCAGATCCGTCATCATTTGTTAGACGCATTTCTGCTGAATTTGTTGTTGTATTCTGTCTCTCAGTGTTACACCGAACATTCCATTGTTAGACCGATCATTTCTGTGTGAGGGGCGAACATTCCATTGTTAGACCGATCATTTCTGTGTGAGGGGCGAACATTCCATTGTTAGACCGATCATTTCTGTGTGAGGGGCGAACATTCAACATCAGCAGGGGAGCAAATACACATTTCCTTCACTGTGCTGAAGTGCTGAACACATTCTTTATTGAGGAGCCATAGCTGTACTTTATGTTTCTTTTCTCTTTAACTTCCCCAGAACATCACTGCAAAGGACACCTAAATCTCTAGTAGCCTAACCTCCCAGAAGTGCTATGGTAAAGGCTAGAGAGAAAACGGAGAGGCTTCATTGTATTAGACTTTGTATTACTATTCCAAAACTTTACTAGCTTCATCAATACAAAAAAGCCAATATTTTCCACCTTCTTCATTTTCAGCTTGTTTTGCTACAAAAATGATCGTATAGAGCCGGGTCTCCAAGCTTTCTAAGCAAAGGGCCAGTTTGCTGTCCTTCAGACTTTAGGGGGGCCAGACTGTGGCCATCAGGAGTAGAAAATGTCCCGACATTAGTAAACAATGCTCCATCATTGGTGCCATTGCACCCCATCAATGGAGACATTGGGAGGAATTGTACCCCATCATTGGTGTCATTGTGAGGAATTGTGTCCCATCATTGGTGTCATTGTAAGGAATTGTGCCCCATCATTGGTGTCATTGTGAGGAATTGTGCCCCATCATTGGTGTCATTGTGAGGAATTGTGCCCCTTAGTTGATGACAATGGGGGGAATTATGCCCTATTATTGGTACCAATGGATGAAATATTGCTCCAAGGACTAGATAAAAGCAAGCAAAGAGCCCCAGTTTAGAGACCCCTACAACAGAGCAGTCGTTCTCAACCCTTTTACTCCAGAGAAAACCTTGAATTAATTTTCAGGTCTTTGGAGAACCACTGCTAAAACCAATTCATTGATGGTGAGCGGGCAAAAAAGCCCCTTACTTTGGTTGACAGCAAAAAATATCATTGGCGTCATGAAGCTGGATCTGTCAGGTGGCGTTGGACCCGGAACTAGGCAGGCATCATGGAATGTGAGTTTAATCAGCCAAAGTTCAAGGAACCCCTAGCAGCCTCTCAAGGAGCCCTAGTTGAGAATGACTGATATGAAATAATAATCGTATTATATGTGTTGCCAAGAGGGCTAACACTACTTCTGATGTATCCCTGATTATTGCTGCCTCTCTTATCCTCTAACAAGCATTTTATTTCTTTTTATTGCAGTTCTGAGGACGGTGATGACAAAGCAGCATGTGCTAGACAATAAGACAATATCCGTGTATCCATATTACCCATCCATTGGTCATTGCTTGTATGGGAAGGAAGGCCCTCTTATGGAAATACCTGATTCAGTAGAAATCCCCATCAGCCCACATATACTGGCATTCATTTTGAAGGATGAACAGATAAAACAAAATTTTGAAAAAGAAATGTCAGATGTTTACTGTGATATCACTTGGCCAAATGTAGACCACCCCACTCCTGTCATCAAACTGTCTTTTCCCAGGAACCTCTCCAGTTATCTCCGAACCTTGGCAAAGATAGTTCCATCATGGAGCGATAACGTCCACAAAAAGTTTAAATCTTTTATTTTGAAGTATAAGGCTGCAGAGTGTGACCTGAAGCCACCGGTGTGGGAAGCCATCAAAGAAAAGATGTCTAGCTCATCATATGATGGAATCCTCATAAAACCTTACTTAGTTGCAGAGAAGGCTTTCATTGTGGGTATTTTAGAAGATGTTAAAAAGATTGAGCCAATATTCAGACAACTGGTAGAAGAAACCACTAGACAACTCAGCAGAGTGGAAGAGGATGTGCCTCTTGAACCCGAAGCTTATAAATTAATGTTTGCACATGGTCTGGAGAAAAACATCATGAAAGATTGTCCACATGTGAAGATTCGTTATGATGGAACTTCTAAGGGAGTTAAACTTTACGGACCAAGAGATGAAGTTCTCAGTACTAAATCCAAAATTGTCAATATTAAGCAAGACCTAAAGTATAAATTCATCCAGCTAGATGCACACATCATCAAGTTTCTGAAGGCAGTGGACAATGAAGAATTGTCATGTAGTCTTCTTATGAAAAAAAACATTAAAGCAGCTTTTCAGATGAAAGATAATGCAGTCATGTTAACTGGTTACTCCGATAACGATCTGAGAAATGGTGAAAAAACAATGAAGAAGGAATTAGTCTGTAAGCGGATTTTTGTTAAGGATAAAAGTGTCACTCAGAGTCCGGAGTGGGGAAATATGAAGAGCTTCCTAAAGGAGATGTTTAATATTGATGGGATAAAGGTTTCCATAGAGGAGTTCCCTGTGAGGGATGGAGCTGAGGTGGTGATCACTGGTCTATCCTCACCTGCAGAAGAAACCTACCAGCAGATCCATAACTTTGTGGAAAAGACCACTTTGGTGGAGAAGGACATCAAGCTGAAGTCAGTGGTGGTGTTGCAGTTTATGGAGGAAAAAAGAACGCAGGAATGGAATGAAATAATGCGGAATGTGAAGGTTGTGAAGAAACAGAACTTCATGTCCTTGTCTGGCCCAAAGTTCTATGTAGAGGAGGCAGAAACCAACATAAGAAAAATTATTTCCAAAATGTATTCTGACACCTTATACATTGATAAACCCGGGGTCAAAAAATCCTTTTTTGAAAATGAAGATATGTATGTTACTACAGTATGGCACAATCACAAATGTCTGATACAACTACAGAAGGAGGCAGATGACAGAATTTCTAATCAAAATGAGCTCCATTGCCAAGTCAGCCTCCAGAATGGAGCCACAATGGTTATATATAAAGGTGATCTGTGCCAACACAATGCTGATGTCATCATAATTGCCTCAAATAAGAATTTAAAGCCAACTGGGGGACCAGCGCTGGCTTTGGTGAAAGCAGCAGGACCCAGTTGTCAGAAAGAATGTGAACGCATTGTTCAAAAGGAAGGAGAGCTGGAGCCGGGAGAGTGTGTCATAACAGATGTGAGCAATTTATCATGTAAGAAGGTAATTCATGCAATTGCTCCCAAACTGGATAAAAAAGAAAATTCAAAATGTGAGCGTCTTCTACGGAAAGTGATAATCAACAGCTTGAAGATGGCTGCAGATAACGGTCAAAGCTCTGCTGCACTTTCTGTTGGTGATTTCATTATTTCTGGGTGTCCCTTGGACCTTTGTGCCCAAAACATTGTAAAATCAATAAAATCATACACAGAAAGCCAAGAAGGCTTCAACACCATCAAAAAAAACATCCATCTCGTAGACAGTGATGAAGGCACTCTAAAGACTATCACTGAAATAGTGAATGAAGAGTTTGAAGGAAAACATGTCCAGGTTCCTTGGAAACATGGCATGAAAAAGCAGAAGAAGAAGAAGGAGGAAATTATGAACAAAGCCAACGATCAAATGGTGACCACCAAGGAAGGGTTGAACATCAATATAAAACATGGAAATATTGAAGACGCAATGGTAAGTTCTATTCAGTTCAGGTTTCTTCATAGTAAACATATAAGGTAACAAAATATTAACCACTGTAATGATATAGATGGCTGTACATAGGTCAAACTGTGACTAAATCTTTAAGGGGGCCACATTATGTCTGCTGAGGGACACACGTGATTAAATTCAGTAAAAGATTATGGCACTTTGAAACCTAAAGCTGTTTTCCAGGTATGACAATTTGTACATAGGTAAATTGGTCCAGCTTGGACCAATGTATGTATGTGCCAAACGTATGGGATCCCCGTTGAAGCTGGAAGTCGGTGTATTAGGTTGAATATAAATTTATTTGCATTTTTAAAACAAGAAAAAGGACAATGACTCTACAACACAAGAGTATGGCAGCAGTTGTATCGGTAAAAAAAGAGTCAAATGATGACCACAGTGTACAGATATGTCCTGGGAAGTAGAGGGGCCCCTGTTGGTCACATTGGGTGTATATGCCATCTTGGTGCATAAACAAGTAATAGGCAAAGGGCCCACAGGTGACCAAAGGAAGAAAACATCATAACCATAACCAAGAAGAAGAAGGGGGGAGATTGAGGAGGGAGGGAGAAGGGAAGGAAAGAGAGAGAATGGAGCTAAACTTCTGGAGAAAAAGCTTCATATGAACATGCGTTAAAAAAAAAAAAGAATACATTTATCAAAATCCATCAACAGAGGCAAGTTGAAGTGCTTTCACGGTAGTGATGTCCAACCTTCAGCAGAAGAGGAGGAGCCAAGGGAGGAGAACCCGGCGGGAGCAAACCGATGAGGAATTAAGTAAAAATCAGGTTTTTCAGTTTGTCAGAGTAATACAGCCATATGTACAGTGAAGGAAATGCGTATTTGCTCCCCTGTTGATGTTGAATCTTCGCCCCCTCACACAGAAATGATCGGTCTAAAAATCGAATGTTCGGTGTATTGTAACACTGAGAGACAGAATACAACAACAAATTCAGCAGAAATGCGTCTAACAAATGATGACTGATCTGCATGTTCATGAGGGAAATAAGGATTTGATCCCCTTCACAAAACATGACTTATTACTTGTGGCAAATCCCTTGTTGGCAATCACAGAGCTCAGATGTTTCCTGGAGTTGGCCCCCAGGTTCGCACACATCTCAGGAGGGATTTTGGCCCACTTCTCTTGGCAAATCCTTTCCAAGTCATTAAGGTTTGGTGTCTGATGTTTGGCGACTCGAACTTTCAGCTCCTCCACAGATTTTCAGTCGGATGAAGGTGTGGAGACTGGCTAGGCCACTCCAGGACCTTAATGTGCTTCTTCTTGAGCCGCTCCTTTGTTGCCTTGGCCGTGTGTTTTGGGTCATTGTCATGCTGGAACACCCATCCACCACCCATTTTCAATGCCCTGGCTGAGGGAAGAAGGTTCTCGCCCAAGATTTGAGGGTACATTGCCCCATCCATCGTCCCTTTGATGCGGTGCAGTTGTCCTGTCCCCATAGCAGAAAAACACCCCCAAAGCAGAATGTTTCCACCACCATGTTTCACAGTTGGGATGGTGTTCTTGGGGTCATAGGCAGCATTCCTCCTCCTCTAAACACGGCGAGTTGAGTTGATGCCAAAGAGCTAGATTTTGGTCTCATCTGACCACAACACTTCCCACCAGTCCTCCTCTGCATCATTCAGATGTTCAGTGGCAGACTTCAGATGGGCCTGGACATGTGCTTTCTTGAGCAGAGGGACCTTGCGGGCACTGCAGGATTTTAGTCCTTGTTGGACTAGTGTGTTACCAATTATTTTCTTGGTGACTGTGGTCCCAGCTGCCTGGAGATCATTGACAAGATCCTCACGTGTAGTTCTGGGATGATTCCTCACTGTTCTCATGATCATTGACACTCCACGAGGTGAGCTCTTGCATGGTGCACCAGACCTAGGGAGACTGACACTTGTTTTGTGTTTCTTCCATTTGTGAATGATTGCACCAACTGTTGTCACCTTCTCACCAAGCTGCTTGGCCATAGTTTGGTAGCCCAGTCCAGCCTTGTGTAGGTCTAAAATCTTGTCCCTGACATCCTTGGACAGCTCTTTGGTCTTTGCCATGGTGGAGAGTTTGGAATCTGATGGTTTGATTGCTCCTGTGGACAGGTGTCTTTTATACAGGTAACACAATGAGATTAGCAGCACTCCCTTTAAGAGACTGCTTCTAATCTCAGCTTGTTACCTGTATGAAAGACACCTGGTAGCCAGAAATCCTGCTGAATGATAGGGGATCAAATCCTTCTTTCCCTCATGAACATGCAAATCAGTCATCATTTGTTAGACATGCATTTCTATTGAATTTTTTGTTGTTATTCTGTCTCTCAGTGTTATAATGCACCTACCATTCGATTTTTAGACCGATCATTTCTTTGTGAGGGGCAAACATTCAACATCAGCCGGGGAGCAAATACGCATTTCCTTCACTGTACCTCATGTGCCACAGAGTGGTGAATTTGTCCTAGGCATCCATCTCTCATGTCAGCATTTCCTCCATCAGCATTGTGTAATTTACAATGTTCACCCTAAGAGTCAAGAAAGGTGTAGAAGAAGACTTCCAGAACCTGGATGTAAGATGCTGGCCAGCAGAAAAAAAAGTGGCAATAAGCTTGCCTGACAGATCCCAGTAATATAGACAACAAGGCCATGGTAGGCAACGGGGATAGAGACACATTGTAGATTTCATCATATATCTTAAATATCTCTTTCCAAAAAGGTTGGATCAAGTCACACTACCGTACGTGCAAATACATCCCCTCGCCATTATGACACCAGCAACTATCTCAAGTCATAGGAAATATACAGTAGAGAGAGAGACTGGGTCCCTATGTCACCCAGAGAGCAGTTTGTAGGTTTTTCTCTTGGGCATACCAAGAATTAGAGGATTTATGGGTGAGTGTAAAGCTGTGTGCCAGTCCCCAGGGGAGACCCCATAGCTCAGGTCTGTAGATCATATTTTGGTAAAGGTAGGGAGGGTCCCATAGGAATGAATTACAACAGATTTGTAAACAGTGAAAAGGGTTTGATGGGGGGCCTCCAAGAGAAGACACAATTTTTTGAATTTCGTAGTTGGCCTATTCACTAAGGCAAGGAGAAAAAGAAAAACCAAGGAAAGCGCTCCCCTAGTGTAAAAACGTCTTTTTATTAAGGACAAAACATAAAGTAGTCCAATGAACTCACATTTCTCCAATGTACGCAAGCTTGTCACAAAGGGTTGGTTGTCTGTGTCCCTCGGATCCATCCATCCCTGCTTTGTGGTTTTCAGTGTTCCTCCAGTGGTGAGCCAAGAGGACTGAGCCGGGGAAAGTCCACAGAAGAGGCTGGGGAGACTGCAGGAGCCCCTGGGTGTAAAGGCACCTTGTAACTGTCAAATCACCGGCACCTGTGTGTTCCGAACCAGCAGACAATATAAACAGCACAGCACGTGCAAGCTGTGGGACGGTGAGCCTGAAGCAGCAGTGTAGTTTGCCAGGGATACTGCAACGTTTCTGAGGGCGCGCTCAGTGTGCTCCTCTACTTCCCAAGTTTGGGAACAGCCTGACATGGCTTGGCCGGGGCCCACAGGTGATGTCAAGGCAACACCTCGCACTGCCCAACTCTTCCCCCCTGGTGAAGATGGCAGAGTCCTCCTCAAACCAGGGCGGAGGAGTGCGGAAAAATGCAAGGTGTTCTGTGATAGCATCCATGCTGAGCTGGCAACCCCCTGTGGTTACTACGCAATTGGGCAGCTTGCCAAGGGACCTGGAAGACATCGGGGATCACTGTAGCAGTGGAGAATACTACAGTAATTCTCCACTCCCACAGTAATTCCACAGGTATGGCACATACATACTTCCATTGATCCAAACTCAACCAACATAGCTATTTAAGAAAATCCATACCTGGAGTTCAGCTTTAAATCTCTAAACCACTGAGGACCACACATGGTTTGCATTAGATGGACTACTCTGTGCGGAAGAGGAGAGGCAAGGAGTATGAAGATGCGGGACCTCACTAGATGTGCAACAAAACAGAAACTCTGTAAGAAAGTCAGTAGGTGGCATTCTATCATCTTATCTCTGTGCTCTCAGAAAGCACAATTCGCAAGGACATCGCCGCAACTCGCACTCCCTCTCAACCCGTCCCCTCTCACACAGCTACCCCCTCATCCCCCCTCTCCCTCGACAAGACCCGCAGGGACTTCGTCACTGCTCAAACTCCCTCCAACCCCGTTCCCCCTCACTCAGCTACCCCCTCATCACCCCTCTCCCATGGCCCCACCACTGCTCTGACCTCCACTCCCACCCCACCCTACAGTCCTCATACTGAAGCCCCCTCAACACTCCACACCTTTGACCTTACTACCTTCGAGGAAGTCTCCAAGGTCCTCTCTGATGCCCGCCTCACCACCTGCCCCCTCGACCCTATCCCCTCACAACTCCTATGACCTCCCTCCCCCTCCATCCTACACTCCCTCACCCACATCTTTAATCTCTCCCTCTCTTCCGACACTTTCCCCTCCCCTCTGAAACATGCACACATCACCCCCATACTTAAAAAGCCCCCCTGGACCAGTGACCCGAACAACCTCAGACCCATCTCCCTGCTCTTATTTACATCCAAACTCCTCAAGCGCCTAGTCTACACCCGCCTATGCTCTCACCTCAACGACAACCACCTCCTCGATCCCCTACAGTCTGGCTTCTGTCCCCTACACTCCACCGAAACTGCCTTACTCAAACTCTCCAACGACCTGCTAACCGCCAAAGCTAATGGCCACTATTCAGTGCTCCTACTCCTTGACCTCTCCGTGGCCTTCGACACAGTCGACCACCCCCTCCTCCTCAAAAAACTACACTCCCTTCGCCTCAGAGATTCTGTTCTCTCCTGGCTCTCATCCTACCTGTCACAACGCTCTTTCAGCGTTACCTATAATGCTACCACCTCCCCCTCACTCCCCCTCTCTGTTGGGGTCCCTCAAGGCTTCGTCCTCGGGCCCCTTCTCTTCTCCA